GAACACCCCTGGGGTTTTTTTTTTTCTAAAAGGGTGAGGGGTGCAAGGGTCTTGTAACTTGGCAGCTTTAAGACTTGTGTGCTTCAAATGCCAGAGTTTCTGAGCCAACATTTTGGTTGCTAAGCAAGAGCGTTGTTAAGTGAGTTTCACCACATTTTACAAGTTGGCCACTCCCACCCGGTCACACGACTGCCAAGCCACTCCCACTCAGTCACACAATTGCCAAGCCACTCCCACTCGGTCACATGGCTGGCAAGCCACTCCCACCCAGTCACATAGCCGGCAAGCCACTCCCACAAAGTAGCTCACACCTATAGCAGAGGTTCTAAAAAAAATTGAAACCCACCACTGGTGTACCTGTACTTATAGCACATCATATTTCCAGAATAATCCTTTGGTAGTTCTCTAGTATTGGAACAAACCATTCAAACCTAATTTATAAAAGATGATCAATACTAATGAATCTCAAACAAACAACTCCAGTCCTGAAAAATCAATGTTATGTTTTGCTTTGCCTGGAAGCATGCATTTGTCATGAGTTTGACTGCCATTAAATGCCAGTAGAGAATTGAAAATGAAATGTGGACATTGGAAAGCAAACAGTGCCAATTTAAACAAGGAAAGGAGATTGAGATAAAATGTTTGTTTTATCTTAGGGCTGTGCTATCATTTCATCTCCTCCCATAGCCCCCTCAAACACATCTTAGAATGGAGCTAGGCTAAAAAGTTAATTATATAAAAATAGAGATTAATGAACATAAGTAAAATAGGCTTTTGTTGACCTCCAAAAAGAACAATTTTTGTATTCTTCACTTAGTTTTATATTTGGCGAAAGCATCTCTGGTAATCAGACTATCCACATGTTTGACTGGGCTTATTGGATCTAAATTCTAATTAGTTCCTTTATGTAACTAAAAATAATAGTTCGGAATAAAAGTAATGTGCTTATAGAGCTCAACCTAGCAGTTTTAATGTCCTATTTTGTTAAGGCAGAAGACTCGCTTTTCATTCATCCGGAAGATGGCAGTGATTAAATTATTGGGGGGGTGGGGGGGAGCAAAACCTATCTATGACTACTTTGAATAAAAACTCATTACTTTTCTTTTAAAGATATTTTTCTACAAACAGGAGCAGCAGCTGGCTTTGAGTAGTGGGAGGCTGTTACAAAGTTTCCCCATCTAGTTCATCTTGCTATCTCCTGCCCTAGGAAATAGGGAGAAATTTCCTGACAATGAGAACAATTAATTAGTGGGCTGGCTTGCCTTCAGAAGTTGTCAATGCTCCATCACTGGAGGCTTTTAAAAAAAGACAGGACAGCCATTTGCCTGAAATAATACAGGGCAGGGGCGTCAACCTGGCAGCCCACGGGGTGGGTGCGTTACACAGGTCATGCCCACCCCAGCTCCATGAAGCGGGAAAACGTGATACATCACGTGACGGCAACATGATGTGACAAGTTTGACACAAGTGGTATAGGGTCTCCTGTTTGAGCAGGGGATTGGACTGGAGGACCCCCCAGGTGTTCTGACCTAGGCTTCCGGAGAAAGCATAAATCACAATCTTAACCCTCTTTTATTTATACGGCTGTAAATTATGGTCATTAACAGTCTGCAAGGCTTCACAAACAGGTTCCCACAGATGTCTGCTCGAGTTGCCACAGTCTTTCGGGAGACTGTTGATAAACACCCACCTTATCTCAACTGAGAGCACTGCCAGAGACTTAATTGCCAAATGCAGGGGAAGGCCAAACTTAGCACAGAGCCCAACAGAACTTTTCAAAGCTTGAACCAACAAGATGAACTAATTGCTTCCTGCAAAAGCTTACATCCCTTTCGCTCCTCTTTTATGTCTTATGGGAGGGGCCAATCATCTCCAAGCCTTACTCCAAAGTCGACCCTGTTTTCTGAATTGTCGTTGTCTTCTGGCAGTTCTGTGCATGCGCACCTTGGGAACCGGCTCCCGTTGTTCTTGTGCCTTGCTGATGTCAGACTCCAGAGCTCTGGAGGCAGCAAATAACTACCAGATGGTCTTGGTACTCTCTCTGCCTGCGACGCAGAGCCCTCGTCCAAGCCTTCCACAGACTCCAGGACTAGCCCATGTTCCTCCCCAACCTCCTCAGTGTTCAAATCTGTTGCCAGCTCTGCTGGCTGCTAGTGGGCCACAACACAGGGTCCCATTCCAACCCTGTTATTCTGTTAGGTCCCTCTGAGCTTTACCAAAACATTGAGCTCTGAAGTTGAGCATAGATGTAGATCTCTTTGTGGTGGAAAAGAAGATGGTAGTTACTGCATAATCTCATAAAATGTCAAAGGAGAAAAAGTGATGCCAGAATGCTTAAGAGGATCCATAACAATTGTTCCCCATTCCTGGCATTAAAAAAAAAAAAAAAAAAAAGATACATGTTCGTCAGGATTTCATGTAGTCAGGGAGACATTGTAGAGATTTTCAATCATGGGCTCTGCAGGAGGCTGATATCGAAGAAATCATTTATTTATTGGTTCTGTGTATTTAGTCTTTCCTTCCATCAGGCTCTCAGTTCAAAATTCAGAGCAATTTTCAAAGGCAAAAAGTTACACAAAGTCCCAGAAAGTCTTGCTGAAGAAGAAAGTCTAAGTCATTTCCTGAAGGCAGAGTGACAAATAAACAGGGAATACATTTCGTAACTTTGAAGCAATGTAGGGAAGATATTCTTCAAGCCCAGGTTGAATTCAATCCATTGATGAAATTAGAAAAAAAAACATCCTTTTTTGTGTATCTGTATACAAACACATAAGGGATGCGGTGGCTCTGTGGCTAAGATGCTGAGCTTGTCAATCAGAAAGGTTGGCAGTTCAGTGGTTCGAATCCCTAGCGCCACATAATGGAGTGAGCTCCCGTTACTTGTCCCAGCTTCTGCCAACTTAGCAGTTTGAAAGCACGTAAAAATGCAAGTAGAAAAATAGGAACCAACTTTGGTGGGAAGGTAACAATGTTCTGTGTGCCTTTGGTGTTTAGTCATGCCGGCCACATGACCACAGAGACACCTTCGGACAGTGCTGGCTCTTTGGCTTTGAAACAGAGATGACCACTGCCCCCTAGAGTTGGGAATGACTAGCACATATGTGCAAGGGGAACCTTTACCTTTACCTATATATGCGCACACTATCTATATAGAAGCAACTGACCAGGTTTTGTGACCATTGATGTGACACATCCTTTCTTTTTCTTTTTTCTATTTTTCAGCTGGGCTGCTGGAATCCTGGTACTGGTCTCAATGGATCACTAACAGATAGAAGACTGGAAAATAACATGCGGGGAGTAGTTCTTCGTGTAGTTACTGTGTTGGTAAGTGGAATTACATTTTTTAAAAGAAAAATCAATTATAGATATAGATCTATATCAGTGGTGGGTTTCAAAAATTGTTCGAACCTACTCTGTGGGTGTGGCCTCCCGTGGCACGACAAAACCGCGCTCGTCAAAATAGCGGTGATAAAACCACGTCGCTAAAGCCATGACATCATCACCATGTGTCATCACCACCGCGACAACAGCACAGCGAAAGAAGGGCGCTTTAAAACAGCGCTGCGGCAGAAAGCCGATTTAAATTAAGGTAAAGGTTAGGATTAGGTTTAGGGGTTTGCTTTAGGGTTAGGGTTAGGGTTAGGGTTAGGGTTAGGGTTAGGGTTAGGTTTAGGGTTAGGGTTAGGTTTAGGGTTAGGTTTAGGGTGCTGAGTGCTTCGAAAGGCGCGGATTTGCCCTCCGCGATTATGTCATCGTGATAGGGTCGCATTTTTCCTTAGCGCTTCGAACGGCGCGGATTTGCCCTCCGCACTTATGTCGGCGCGGATAAGGGCTTCGCGGTTTTGTGGTGGAACCGTGGCCTACTTTGTAGGAGTGGCTTTTCACCCATGTGACTGGATGGGAGTGGCTTGCCGCCCATGTGACCAGATATGAAGATGCCGACAACACTTGTCAGAACCACCTTAAATTACCTCACACACAGCACTGGCAGACATAAGAATATGATGTAAACTTGTTTTTTAAAAGGCATTGTTGGTTTGCATTAAAACAACTTCAACACAGGCAATGTTCTGATTGCACCACAAACGCAGTAATCATCCTTACCTTTCACAGAGGCACTGAGTTTTATAAATATGAGCATAATCGTGTAGAATAATCATACCCAAGGACCAGTGGTGGGTTTCAAAAATTTTTGGAACCTCTTCTGTAGCTGTGGCCTGCTTTCCGGGTCCACTGGTGGAACCTCTTCTAACCAGTTCAGTAGATTTGACGAACCGAATAGGTGTGAACTTGTAGGAACCCACCTCTGGTATAGGGTCTCATGTTGTGCAAGGGGTTGGACTAAAAGACCATCAAGGTCCCTTCCAACTCTGTTATTCTGTTATAATTAATACTCTGAAACAAAATGAAGAAGTTTCCTGGGGCCTTTAAATCAGGTTGGTTGTCTGTGAATCGATTTGCTTATTTGGAATGATTCAAATAAGATTCCAAAAATCAGCTACACTCTCCTTTTCCCTAACTACTTTTCTTGGCTTCTCTGGTTTCCTACAAATAGTTTGTTGATTAAGAGTGTCTGAATAATTAAGATAACACAAAACAGAACTGTAATCAAATGTGTGGCCACAATAGGAAACATCTGGCCCATGTTGCTTCAGCCCGGTGTGCCCAGTACGAAGAGGAAACATGGGGTCCGTGACCTGGTGTACCCAATGCGAAGCGGAAACATACCAGCAGTTTGGGGAATGGCGTCCAGCTGGCCATGCCCATTCAGATGCCCACACCAACCTGGTCAGCCACACCCACCAAGGCTTCCGAGGTCAACCACAGCCTTGTTGTGGCTCTCAATGAAATTGAGTTTGACACCCCTGCTGTAAAGTATTAAGCCATTGGTCTTAACATTTATCAATATTAGAGACCATTATCAAATGTGGTAGTATTTCACCATGGATACAAATGCATTGTTCCACTGTGTTAAACTATGTGGACTGTGCACATTAAAAGAAGAAAAACAGATTGGTCCAAGAAAAAAAGACTCCAACGGATGCATTAAAGGCATCCAATTATGGTAGTAAATGTGATTGCAGTTTCACACAAATTTCTGCACTCAGAAAATATTAAAGGCTACAAAAGATTGGCTAAACTATCTTCATTCACTTAGTTAAGATACTTTGGCTGATTTTTTTTGGGGGGGGGGGTAGTCTTTTCCAACACATTTCAATTTTAACTTCTGTCTATTTTGTCTCACATCTTGGGCATCAACAAGCCTTCTTAAATTTACTGTTAATTATAGAATAATAATTGTAATATTTACAAAGGAGTGTACCCCAATTAAAAATGAGATAAATTTTACCCATGGTGTACAGTTAAAACATGTCATCCCAACATTTGTGGACACAACGGAAATTTCAATTATAGAAGCCAATGTGTGATATTGGGATACTGGAAAAGGCATTTAAGAATGGATGCTGATAATACTGTTGCTCTGAACCCATTTCAATTAAATTTGGGGTTAATATATGTGCTAAAATTGTTTTATTTGCACTGATATAAGATCTAAGTTGTTAAATGAATAAAATGAGTGCATCCCGTATGGTCCTCTTGGACTACTGGTGGTCTTCTCTACCATCAATTACAAAACAATTCTGGATAATATGGCCAGATTAGGCCTTTGTTCTGAATGAGGATGATTGAACTTAAAATTGTATTCAGACTATTGGAGACAGAAATGGAGGTTTGTCTTATTTTATATGGGTTTCTTCAACTGTCATTGGTTTTGCAGATGGAAAAAAGCTATGGCAAGGGACATAATTCAATGTCTGTCTGTCTGTCTGTCTGTCTGTCGATCGATCCATCCCTCTAAATTGTCAGAACGTTGTCTAACCAATAACTAGTCTCATATGCTCCTCTGTCCCAATTATCAATTCAACAGAACAAGTGCATTACATTTAACACTTGAGAAAAGCTGGGGAGCACACTAAATGTTGAAACTTAATATAATTAATGTCAAATGTTTGGACTTCAGGCCAAAACAAATAATAATTGTGAGCTAATGTGAAATCTTTCAGTTGACATCACTGTGGCTTAATATTGGATATTAGAAAGATGCTGGCAGCTGTGCTCAAAAAACACCATAAGTTACTCCGTGCCTGTGCGCTGTTCTTCAACACCGCCTAGTTGTACAGGATAAACATACATTTTCTATTCTAGTAAACTAAATTGGGATAATACAAAAAGGCCAAAGTGATGTGTGTAAGTTTCTGTGTCAAAGCTAATTGGATGCTCATCCAATTAGCATCACAAAATAAGAACCTAGGTCTTTGTGCTTTGAAATTAATATCATATTGTATTCTTGCAGTGAGAATTCTCAGTTAATGTTTTCTCTGAAAAATACTGGAGGTTTGTAAGAAGAGATTGGACAAATGGCATAGGGTTTTCAGCTTGAGCAGGGAGTTGGACTAGAAGACCTCCAAGGTCCCTTCCAACTTTGTTATTCTGTTATTTTGGTATTCTAGAATGTCTTTGAAAAAGCTATGGACTTTTTCAAGGCAAATATTATACTTTTGACCATGTAGTCACCAGCAGTTGAATTAGCATTTCTATTACGCATGATGTGCATCAGATTAAATTAACAAGTTAGCTGTTCCTTTGTGCAATTCTTTCCAGGATTCAAAATGTTCTTCCTGTCATTTTGGATTTTTTTTTAAGTGAACCTTTCTCTATTCTCAGTCTAAGCTATTTAATAAATGTCTTATCTTGACAACTCTGCTGCTACCAAGAAGAAAGGCCCAGTAGTTTACATTTCTAAAATATGTACAGGTAAGCAGAAAAAGGTTGAACATTCACATCAATATGATAGATGGATTTTCAGCATTCCTCCCATACTAGGGATGGGCTGTTTATTTTTGACCGAGAAATGCATTTCCTCAAGAGTCAAAGCTAAGTTAGCAAAGTCCTAAAATCATATTATGCACAGTCTCACAAAATAGATAATATGAGGGGAGGGAAATGTCTGTTCTAACAAATGACTGTCATGATTGGTATATCCAGGGGTGGGATTCTACCAGTTCTGGTAGCTCTGATGATCAGCTGGGAGCAAACCATTTCAGGGTTCACAAAAGCGCGCCATCAACAAACAACATAGTGGGATGCGAAAACAACGTAATAACCCTAACCCTAACCCTAACCCTACCCTAACCCTAACCCTACCCTAACCCTAACCCTAACCCTAACCCTAACCCTAAACCTAACCTTTACCCTAACCCTAATCACGCTTTTGTGGGCGCGCTTTTGACATTGCGGTTTTGTCGGGCGCGCATTTTTCGGGTCACGCCATTTCAGCCTGATAACCGGATGGNATCCAATTATGGTAGTAAATGTGATTGCAGTTTCACACAAATTTCTGCACTCAGAAAATATTAAAGGCTACAAAAGATTGGCTAAACTATCTTCATTCACTTAGTTAAGATACTTTGGCTGATTTTTTTTTGGGGGGGGGGGTAGTCTTTTCCAACACATTTCAATTTTAACTTCTGTCTATTTTGTCTCACATCTTGGGCATCAACAAGCCTTCTTAAATTTACTGTTAATTATAGAATAATAATTGTAATATTTACAAAGGAGTGTACCCCAATTAAAAATGAGATAAATTTTACCCATGGTGTACAGTTAAAACATGTCATCCCAACATTTGTGGACACAACGGAAATTTCAATTATAGAAGCCAATGTGTGATATTGGGATACTGGAAAAGGCATTTAAGAATGGATGCTGATAATACTGTTGCTCTGAACCCATTTCAATTAAATTTGGGGTTAATATATGTGCTAAAATTGTTTTATTTGCACTGATATAAGATCTAAGTTGTTAAATGAATAAAATGAGTGCATCCCGTATGGTCCTCTTGGACTACTGGTGGTCTTCTCTACCATCAATTACAAAACAATTCTGGATAATATGGCCAGATTAGGCCTTTGTTCTGAATGAGGATGATTGAACTTAAAATTGTATTCAGACTATTGGAGACAGAAATGGAGGTTTGTCTTATTTTATATGGGTTTCTTCAACTGTCATTGGTTTTGCAGATGGAAAAAAGCTATGGCAAGGGACATAATTCAATGTCTGTCTGTCTGTCTGTCTGTCTGTCGATCGATCCATCCCTCTAAATTGTCAGAACGTTGTCTAACCAATAACTAGTCTCATATGCTCCTCTGTCCCAATTATCAATTCAACAGAACAAGTGCATTACATTTAACACTTGAGAAAAGCTGGGGAGCACACTAAATGTTGAAACTTAATATAATTAATGTCAAATGTTTGGACTTCAG